GTGCAAACTCCCCTCGGAACTGGGTTACAAAATCCGACCAGGTCATGGCCTTAATGGCTAAAGTTCCCTGAGCATAACCAACCTCCTCCCACTAATCCCGGGTTCGCTCCCTCAGACAGCCTGCAGCAAACCTCACATTCGACCCCTCGGGGCAGAAGCTAGTCATCTGATCACACTCCATGTCTGATGTTCATCATTTGGTGGAAATGTTGTCCTTCACCCAAAAGAAAACTGTTGCCCTACATCCCCTAAAAACCTTGAAGGAGAGAGTGTGGGCTACGTATTGACCAGTAGCTACCTCTGATCTAAAGGCCCGGAAACGCTCCCCCATCAACTCGATGAAACGCTGCTTGATCGATCCGAACATCACCGGTGTTGCATCATGGATGCCTCTCGTAATATCTGATGCGATAAACTACTGTAGCCCTCATCAATTGGTTTGGTGTCCATGCCCAATCTCGATCTAGATCCCGAACCTCCTTCTCCGCCATAGGTCATCACCATGTTGAAACACAATACATAAGCAATCAGTACACGCACGAAGAGGTTCACACTCCGAAAGTTTCTCGAAATCATCAAGACCTTCATTGTCTTAGGTATAGATCCTATGTTTTCATTAGTACGGGCCCAATACTACCATCCGTACCTATGTATACCTTCCTCAGGGACTCTCTCTAATTCTCCAACTAACTTCCTACTATCCATTACTTCACTCGCACTATATAGCTCCCTATGCGCTAACACTTATCGTAGGCTTTCCTAGGATTCCCTTTTTCGATCACCTGCTAATATCAACTGTAGAAGAGACTCCCTCCAACTTCTCTAACTGCCTCACAAATACAGTTACATGTTATCGACATCAAATAATTTTTGAATGCTAAATCCTACCCTACAATGGTTGGACTCAAAAAAGAGCTATTTCAATATGGTTGAATTTAACCTTAAAAAATTATCCTATCCCCATAACATGTAATCTTACGCATTCACTTAATAATTAAGTTAATGCACTGCCCCTAATCAGGCCATTCTATTTATTCATCTTAAATCTATAATAGCATGCAGTTCTAAAGGCTCGTACAATTGAAATACAATGCATCTCTCCAAGAAATCTACCATGCAATTACGAACATATCCTCAACCCTAATCTTGCATGCTACACAAATACACATATGTTGAAATTATAAACATGTATGGGTATTTTAGGAAATCCTTACTTCAGAACGACTGATTGCACGTATCACACCCATTTCTTTAAAAAAAATCCATGTATAAAATCCTTTTTCTTTCACAAAGATTTCAAATTCCTCGGTTTGAGTTCAGACATACCCGACTTTGTGCCGGAATCCCTAAAACCAAGGCTCTGATACTGTGACAACCGAGAGGTTTCCATCACTGATTCCCATTGGGAAGCTGGAAAACAGATGTAATAGCATAAAATAGAAATATTTGATCTTTGAGATAATAAGAATAAAATGTGTCATTACATTTATTGCTAAAAATGTTCATTAGGCTAAACAATTACCATCCGAAAAGTTGTAACAGTTCCTAAGATACGTGACATACTTGGATAGTACTTGTTAACATGATCTGAAGGGTATATGATTCGTAAAAATCCGAATCCAAAGGAAAGAGTTATGGAATTTATAAAAATAGAAATCTGCCACGTAATAAAAATTATTACGTCAAAACGGTACCTAGAGATTGGTTAAATTTTGACTAAATGTGAAAAAAAGGAGTTTCTTAGTAATCTTCGATATATAAACTTTAGGAAAAAGTTTGCCGAAAATGGAGTTCATACGAGAGATATATGATTTTTATAAAATAATTTACTTTTAACCCAGCTAGCACGAAAATGAAAATCAAAACTAGCTAAAACATCCTAAAGGACAGTTATAGGACCCATTGAGACCATCACATAAATATAAAGATCGCTTAGATTGCGAGAGACGTGGCCGACCGGTAAAGTGACATGTGGCAGCTTTAATACTCTGGTTCCCATAATTTTTTCCATCAATTTAGGGATTTGCAGCTAAATCATATTCGCTATCGTATAGTAGCTGAACAAAACTGATGTCACTTGTCGGTGGTTATAAAGAAAGAAGGTAGACTAGAATTACTCTCACAAAACAGCGCGGATATTGTTTAAATGATTGACATTGCCCTATATTTTTATTTCGTACTACTTCACTTTTTTTTTATATTCATGTAACACACCTATTTATATGAACAAATACTTAAACGGTAAGGAAACGTAATGACTAAGAATTGTCATCAATGCTAGCTAACTAGTCATCACAAATTACTCCATAAAACTACCACATGTGGAGAAAAGAAAACAAATCACTTTTCCCATGCATGAACATTCCACTCCATCATGTGAGAGATGATCACAACATTCTAGAAGAATGATTTGTCTACATGGCGTATTAGAAAAAAAGATGTCATCAATTTTTTTTATTTAAAAGCATTGAGAACCGAAAAAACCATTGGTATACTAAAAATCAAACCTTCGGGTGCCATTAAACTTTATACTAAAAATCAACCTTCTTTGGGACATTACATCAAACACTTGGGGTGCCTATTCCATCAGAGTAACATCATAATTTCTTTATATATGTTGAGGAAAAATAATAAACGTAAGAACATGTGGAGAAAAGAAAACAAATCACACAAAATAATTTTTCGAATCTAAATTTATTAAAATGCTAAGTGTCTTGTACACGAAAAAAAATCAGTTTGAATAAAATTTTAAAAAAGAAATAGATATTTGATTTATAATGTGAATTGTCGAGTGACTTCTAATCTTTTACATGAGAATATGAAGATCGGTAGATGATGGTGTTCGGCTTGATGACGATGTTGGACGACACCACGTTGGTACTTAATGATGTCGTGGGAAAAAAGAATCGCATGCAGAGGTTGTGTAGGAAGGAAGAAGATGGATTGTTATAAAGGAGGTCGGTGGGTCGTTTTTTAAGGTTCATAAACTGATTTCCCAAATTTAAAGGTAATTAAAGATTTTCTCTATTTACCATAATTAATCATAGCTAAGATTACTAATATACCCTTATAGATTTAATTAACGATTTATTTTTTCTAATTTTTTATTGGTTCCTATGTCAACAGAAGAGATGTTCATCCACACATGAACTTATATCTATATATCGTACATCTCAAAATTCATTATGAATTAAAAGCTATGTCTCAGGTTGCGTCCCTTTTGGCCCGTTTGTCTTTTTCCCACTTGTCGATAAGACCTTCCGCTAAATCATTTATGTCCTCCGCATCAAAGTTGATATATATATATATATATATATATATATATATATATATATATATATATATATATATATGAAAGTGGGTCTAAAGCTGGACCGGATGGACCCGGACCCAGAAAACCCGGAACCGGTTAACGGGATTTTGTAGAACCGGAAACCAGACCAGTATATAGGAACATGTTCCGATTCGGTTCCGGGTATGGTACCGGGTAAAGTGGGTCTAGAACGTGGATAGGTTGCAACCGGATAAAGTGGGTTTAGAACCGGAAAACCAAAAAAAACCGGACTTTTTTTGGTAATTATTTACTACATAGTGGGCTGAACTTTGAAAATGTTCATATTGATATCCCGACTTTGGGGGACTGTAACTCATTGAAAATGAAACCAAAATTGAAAAAATTATAGTCTAATATCATGGAAAAACACTAAACTACACTATGAGAAAAAACCCACATGTCAATCCGACTTTAAACGAATGAGATATGCATGTGTTAACACTTTCACAGAATACAAAATACAAAAACAAATAGCTGAAAAGTTGAAAATTTCCAGTTTTGATATCCCGACTTCGGGGGACTATACAAACTTATAGTCTAAACTCACGTACAAACTCTAAACTACAAGCTGGAAAACCACATGTCAATCCAACTTCAAACGAATTAGATATGCATGTTTTAAAACTTTCACAGAATACAAAAAAACATAAAAACTAAAAACTTTCAGCTTTGATATCTCGATTTTGGGGGACTGTAAGTCAATGAATATAAAACTAAAAATGACAAATTTATAGTCTGAAATCATGTACAAACTCTGAAGTACACGTTGGAAAAAACCGCATGTCAATTGGAGTTGAAACGAATGAGATATGCAACATTTAAACGTTTCACAAAAACCGGTTCCAGCCCTAAAAGTGGTTCCGGTTCTTACCATTGGTTCCGGATTTTAGACCCGGTTTACCCTGACCCGATTGACCCAAACCCGGATTACCCAAAACCTGGAAAAAGCTAATTTTTAAACCCGGAATCAAAACCGGTTCTATATATTTTGGTTCTAACAGTTCCAGTCCGATTCCGATTCCGGTCTGGTTTTCCGGTTCTAAAAAATCATTTAAAAGTCATTTATGTCTAACATAAAGAAAGATTCTAAATAGCGTGAGTCTGTCATGGCGGCAATGTCATGCCTCAAGCATTATGAGTCGTGGACAGTTATGTCGTTTTGTTAAGGCGTGACTAAAAGTCGGAGTTTTATGTATAATTAATAGTTTTATATGTAATTTCTACTATAATTCATTGTATATACATATATCACTTTAGATGATATTTTTTCAAGGCTTGGCATCGAGTATAAGCATTGTAGCGATGGCACGTCATGACGCGACTTTTAGAACCATGGCATAAATACATTCAACATCCTTTGCAAACCAAACAATATTGTAAGCATAATGAATTTTAATTATGTTCAAAATATTATACAAACACACAAAACTATCCGAGTCTTTGTAAGTTTAAATCCATCTAACTCCAAATGGTTTGCCACTTTCCGTATCCCACGTAAATAATCAAACAAACGAAACGCCCCCTTAAAACACTTTATTATTTCCCAATGATGCAATGACCATTGAACTCCATAATTGTTTATTTCTTATAATACACTCCGCTCCCTTCACTTTTCCACTAACTGTGAATGTGGATGCTCTTTCTCAATATTTATTTTAACTATATATTACATTTTTTCTAGAAAATGCACATCTCCCTTTGCGGCTCCAGTTCTAATAGGTCTGTGTTGCATTTGTGAACCCGATAACCCAACTCTAACTTGTGATGTTAATGTAGGACACAACAAATTAAATTGGGGTGTAGTATATGGGCCTTGAAATAAACTCTTGAAGATTATTAGGTACGCCGCTTCTGTAAAGTGTATTCCATCCCAGTAAGCATACATATTGGGATCATCACACGCAGTCGCAAATGATTGTCCACATGTCGCCAACGGATTGTAATTATATGGACCTCCTCCTCCACAGCATGACTTCAAAACCATTTTTCTGAATCCTGCAATATTTTCGATTCCATCACAAGAAGAAAATCAAGATCCTAAATTAACAAATAATATGGTAAATTGTGTATCACTAGCAATATTTTGGCTGTTCCAATATCTAAACACCGGATCTGCTTTTTGGAATTTTGGGTATCAACCACTTGGCTCCCATCGATGTAAAAGAAAGTGATTCGAGCTTATAACATATTGGAAAGTAATAATCAAAATGCCTATTCATCTAATCCGGATCATTCATGAAAAAATAAACGAAGTAGAGATAAGAAAACTAGTACGGATCTAAAGATGGCTACCCTTTCATATATCTTGTTAAGGTTGATTGAAAAATATAAGTAAATTAAAAACCAAAAAGAATAGGGCTAGAAACAAAAGAAAGAGAAAGAAGCCTAGTGAATTAACATTCAAGAAAGGTAGCAAAAAAAAAGAAGAGAGAACTCTGATCAATTAGTGTTGTTTTTTGGTTCATAGAGAGATGGTGTGCCTCTCTAACTAAATCAAAGATCATTCGAATCAACAAAATAAATAAGGCCAACGACATGGAAAATACTTTAGTCCCATCTATGGCTAATTGTGAAATCTCAATTTATCATGTAAATGCAGATGTTAGAACAATAACTGAAATTGCTATCGAAAAAGGTTTCACTATGTGTAGTAATACATATGATATATTAGGAATTGTGAAAAAGGGAGTTGTGTTAAAAATTCACCTCTAGAATGCTCTTTCTATCCGAATTAGGAGGGGGTTATGAGGCCAAACAAAATAAAATAGTTGAGTTATGCCTAGAAAATAGGGTATGAAAAGTTTAATTAAGCATTGTAGATCTTATTGGGGAGATATAACATGGAATTTTACTTTGTAATTCCAAACCGGAAATCGGGTGGTCTATTTTCAATTTAAACCCTTTGTTATTCCACAAGTTTGAAGGTCTAATGAAAGATTTCTTCCTAGCAGTAAAAAGCATATGGGTACAAAAAAAATTAGTTCATCAGTTTCTATGCTCCAGAAGCTTGATCCGATAATAAATTATTGTGGGAAGAAATTAGTAGGTTGATTGACAATAACAAGAAATTTTGATGATTAATATTCAACGATTTAAAGATGTTAGAAAAGTCGGTGAAAGGATATGCTAATTTTCCCTACCAGTGCATGCTACTTTGATAAATTCATAGAAAATGTTGTTTTTGTAGATCTGAATATGGCAGGACCGGATTTACAAGAATGTCGACTGATGAAGCTAAATTAAGTAAGATATACAAAGCCTTTGTTTCTTGATTCTTTTCTTTTGAATTCCGGGATGCATAATCCACTTCCATGAAACGTTTCTATCAGATCGTTTCCCGATCATCATGTTGACGGATTGATAAGGTAGATTTCAGTCCTAGTGATTTTAAAAAATCTAACTATTGGTTAACATATAAGGATTTAGTTGTGGTGGTTTCAAGTAGATGGTTTATGAGGAAGATGGATCCCACTACCTTATATCCTTTCGTTGTCGTCTTGGAAAAAATTATAAAGTTATCGAATATGACGGATGAGATTGTTAATGGTTTCAAGAAAAATATAATAAGAAATAAATGGGTTTGAGAGAAAGCTTCACCAAATCAAAATCGCATACATAAGGAGGAACTCATCGTTTGACTTGAAACCAAAGGAAAGGGTGAAATAGTGGGTCGAGGGGGACGAAAACATGCCTTTTTGCATAGAACTAGAAACAAAAAAAAGAAGGATTGATAGCATCCACAAGCGTACCATTAACAGAAGTTGGATTGTTTATCTGTACGTTAAGGTGGTTGTGTTTGAATTATTTAAGTCCAAATGGTTGGACAATAACTTTTCAACACCTAGACTTTTTAGTAGTAAACTTAGGAAACTATCAATATCATAAGCTACGGCTCAAGAAATCTTATTATCATTTCACGAAGTCAAGAAGTCGGTACGAGGGTATAGTAGAGATAAAGCACCTAGCCCAACAGATTGTCCTTTGCTTTCTTAAAAGAGTTAGTTACTATTCATCCATTAACAAAGGATCTACCTCATGAAGGTAATGATAGACTTTTATCAGTTACTCACTTTGAAAGACATTTATCCATTGACAAAGGATCTAGCTTATCATTCATCGCTTTAGTCTAGAAGGTTGAAAAACTGTTAATTCTTGGTGAGTACATATAGACCAACCGATCTTATTTGTTGTGTCTGTAAAATAATTACGAATGTCTTGTTTTCGAGACTTAAAGTGGTCCTATGTTTGGAGATCAGAACCTCTTAAACAAATTATGTGAAAGGAGTAAAGACAAAGTGGACTCATCATCGGTAGCCTAAATGACATCAATTATGCTTTCTTAAGAAAGTAGTTGTGGTAGTTTCGACATGAGTAATAATATATACTCACAACACTAAGGCTAAATTGGGATTTATGATCCATCATGCGGTGGAGGTGGGGTGGGGGTTATGGATCACTATCTCAAAGAGTAATCACATGTTATCATGTACTAACATGAACCTTCATTACTACATTCCAAAATTCAGGCTACCGATGTGTAGGCTAGCTATAAGTGGGCTATTAACAAAATATAAATTGTAGGCTATATTTCTCATAAACACCCCCACAGTTTGATGATGATGCAATGATAAATGTTCATGTGTGTTGATGATGCTCATGTAATGATAAATGTTCTAAAAGATGCTACATGGCGGATTGTGATTGGTTGAAACCTTACATAGGCCTATGGGCCAATGCGCTTGGCCGAGTACAGTTTTCGGTCTGATCCCTCAAGTATAAATAGGGATGCATGCAGAGTAATTAGTGTGTGTTGTATCTTGTATTCTAGTGTGATATGAAAATCGCAATGTAGTTGAACTTGTGGTGTTTGAGAAATCTGAAATAAAAGAATACTCCCCTCCTGTCTGTGGACGTAGGTCACCTTGACCAAACTATGTAAATATTGTGTCTTGTGCACATGGTGGCTGAAAGAAAGGTAGATATTCTTGAAAGATCACATTGCGCTATTCTATTCAGTTTGACAGATGAAGTACAAAGAGAGGTCGTGGATCAAACAACTGCTTCTGGGCTCTGGGGTAAAGTTTATGACAAGTATCAGAACAACTTTATGACGAAAATGCTATATCAGAAGCAATATTTCTATACTCTTAGGATTTCGCCAAGCACCCAAGTGAAGGATCATCTGGAAAACTTCAATAGGATCATCTTGTACTTACAAGGTGTGAATGTAAAGATTGAAGATGAAGATCAAGAACTTATCCTATTATGTTCGCTGTCGAATTATTATTAGAATTTCGTTGATACCATGTTGTATGGTAGGACAACGATCACTGTGAATGATGCGAATGATTTTTTGATGTCCAACAATCTGAAAAGAAAAGTTTCAGTTGGAGAATAAGTTTCTAGTTCGGTTTTTTCGTAGGCAGACAAAGAGCATCCCAGAGAGGTTCATGTAACAAAAGGAATTCATGTTCTGAATCTAAAGCCAAGATTAAATGTTATAACTACTAGGAAGAGGGGCACTTCAGAAGGGATTGCCCATTGCTGAAGAAAATGAATAATGGTGTTGGACCAAGCAACAACAATGTTGCTGTGGTTCACGGAAATTCTGATGAAGGGGATGATAGTGAAGTTTTGACAGCTTGTATATCTAGTTTTGTTGATTCTTGGGTCTTGGACTCTGGAGCATCCTATCATATGACATGAAATCACAATTGGTTCGACTCCTTCAAAGATTTGAATGGCACAATCATGATTGGTGATGATTGCAGGAGCGATATCAAGGGCAGCGACACGATGCAGATCAAGATGCATAATGGTATGGTCAGGAGACTGGATTGATGGTTCGTCCCTGAACTTTAAAATAACTTGATTTCTCTTAGAACGCTGGCAAAAGCATGGACTGAAATATTCTCAAGAGGGTGACTGGGTAAGAGTTTCCAAGGGTGCTCTTGTAGTTATGAAGGGAATGATGAGTCCTCATGGGATTTATATTGTGAAAGGCTATACAGTTAGGGGAACAGTGACTGTATCCCAACCCTTGGATCAGTATGACGATGAAAGGAAGTTTTGGCATCATATGTTGGGACATGTGAACAAGAAGGGGTTGTTTGGTGGAGATGAAATTGGAAGAGTTGAACCTGATGAAGCTTGAGTTCAAGAGACACAAAGAAGGGTGAAGTTCAGTTCGGTTCAAAACTCAAGCAAGGATAATCTTGAGAGTGTTCACTCAGATGTATGGGGTCCCTCTCATTTGGCCTCGGAAACCCTCTGAGAACACTGGTTTATGAATGTTTGGATGCTCTCCTTATGCTCGTGTGAATGATGGTAAATTGGAGCACGGGAAAATGAAGTGCATATTTCTAGGATATGCATCTGGTGGGAAAGGTCATCGTCTATGGTACACAGAAGATCACATTTGAAAATTCGTTATTAGCATAGATGTGAACTTTGAATCTGCTATGTGTAACAAGAGATGAGGTGGTACAAGTGTTGCCAGGAACGATCGGGGTGCTAGCCAGATGGTGGAGTTTGAAACAGAAAACCCATATAGTTTTGTGATAAATGAGGAACAACAGGGAGGCATGGAACAACTTAGACGTGAGGAATCCCTTATTCAACCTAGGGAAGAAGTGTCTGGTGATGTTGATGTTGGGAAAGAAACCTTGAAGAAGCTTCTGGAGAATGAGTTTGTGATGAACGATTTAGGAGTTGAAAAGAAGGTATCAAGGATGGATATTCAGAGTTATAGAAGACCAGGATGGTCGTGCATTTCTCATTACATTGACAAAATCTTGCGGTCATTCTATTGTGATCGGTCCAAACTTGATGGTGCTTCTTTGGCGGTTCGAATAAATCAGGGAAAAGCTCATTGGGTAGTGATCAAGTGGATCTAGTGACACATGAAGGGAAGTCTTGATGTTTGTCTGGTGTATGGTGCTAATTCACAACATACATATTTGGTTGGATTGATAGACTTAGACC